GTATCCTTCTGTCACTGTTTAAATGGCGCATCCATTGTCAAAACAGGTATTGTCTGAAACAAAAACATCATTCTAGGAAAAACATTCATCTTAATCGCTGAAATTCAGGAAAGAAAGAAAGAAAGAAAGAAAGAAAGAAAGAAAGAAAGAAAGAAAGAAAGAAAGAAAGAAAGAAAGAAAGAAAGAAAGAAAGACTCCTATGGGTTTCCAGCAGGCACTTGGGGAGCTTTCCTGTGATCTGGCAGAAATTTCCACCACACACATTAATTCCTGATTTTTGAGGATATTTTAGCTAGAGAGATGTAACCTTAATGTACTTTGGAACTACTAATAAATTTAAAACTCTTTATTCCCCTTTTTTCCGACAGCAAGGTCACATACTAGATTCATGACATGTATCAAGTGTTTCAATAGAACAGAATATCAAGTGCAGTATATCACATATCAAGTGTATATTTTTAGACTTATTATGGCTTTTTCCAGCCATTACTTTTAATAAACCTGATCAAAATATGCACTTACATAGCCAAATGGGTGCTTTTAGATTATGTAACTTCTCTGCAAAACCTTATTGTTCATCCTATTTATCTTTCAGCTACCTACACAGTAAGCCTGAAACTTTCAGGCATCTTTATTATTTATCTATGCAGTAATGATTCCACTGATAGCTCATCCATGCAGAAAGTTCTATGGGCTAATAAATATAGTCTTGGCTTTTATATAGAATTATTTGTCAGCTTTAACATCAATGTTGCAAAAGCTTTAGCATATTTTGATCACTACTGACTCTTGTTGAGCAGTTAATAATAAAACTTTATTATGTGAGTTATTTGATTTATATTATATAAAAATATGAGCTTACTCACATGATAGGGTTGTACAGATTGTGCTCTCACAATACATATGTTAACTGAATTAATGCAGGTGCACACTAAGTTTGCACATGACACTGGCCAGATTCACTCACATTACATGCTGAGCCACAAGTTAGGCAACCTCATTTTAGCCAACAACTTGTGCAAACCAGACTATGTCTGCTACCTTAGAAGTTTAATTGTTATTTTCTTAAGCTTTCTGAAGTAATGATTAATAGAAAAAGGATATGTAGTTGTTGATCAGTAATTATTTATAACAGATCTGTTAACCTCCACCCTCTGTGAAATAAGAGTTTGTTACTTTAGTAGAATGCAAATGAAGAACTTTCTTATGTAAGAGCAGATGGGGAATAAAGAGGAGTGGGACACTTGGATAGAATTTCAGTCTATTCAATTAGCAGTGAGTCTATAAAAGGAAACAGATGCTTGTAGTCCGGGTGACAATAATTCTGTCATTACACTTGGGTGGAATTTGATGTACCTATTTGTTAAAATGAATATTCTATCTACTATTAATGCAGTGTTTTTATTAAAGTCTTAATTGTTTATAATCAACTACTGTAGATCTTTGAGTAAATGAAAGTATAGTATCACCGCCAAATTTCTATGATACTAAGTTATCAGGGAAAGAATGGATATGAGAGAACATAATTTCAATATAGGAACTCTTAATTTGTCATTTTAGATTGATGTCAGTAAGATTTTAGAATATATTTATTAATTTCCAAAATAAGTCAAGATTAAAGATGCATTTAACATTTTTTTCAAAACTGTATACTGTCAGAATTGAAGGCTTACAGAAAGGAGCGTGCAATGATGTCCTTAAAGATTTTATTGCAATATGCTTTGACATTACAATTTACTGCATGTGTGTTTTAAATGGGCCAAAAACAAGCATTCATCTGTGGTTTTATGTATTTGTTATCTTACCCTTATAAACCACACTATAATCCATCTTAATGAAAAGCAGTATAAAACGTTGTAAATAAAGTCAACGAACACCTTATCATTGCACAACACGTTTAACCACCTCAGTTAAAGACGTTGTTGTCTCATGTGCACAAACTAATTCATCTTGGTTAGTTTCAATTATGGTTAGTTTTTTGGCTTAGCATATTGGACAAATCCAGTCTGTGGGGTTAGTTTATAATTTAATGCATTATGGGAATCCAAAAAATGAGTTGTCATTAATCAGCTTGAGCGCATTGTGAAAACATACTCCTGTCATTTCTTTTCTACAAGTTGCATTGGAAGGCAGGAATGCTGCAAACCAATACTGTACTTCAAAAGAAAACCTCGAATCTTGAGAAGCTTCACTTCTCGCGTGTCTCCTCCGCTCGAAGCGATTTCGAGCAAGGGCGCTCTGGAACCGGAAGTCTGACTCGCAAGGAGACATTCGGAAGAGAGGCTTGTGGCCCAAAACAATCATGGCGGCGGCAGCTCTTTCCCCCAGTTCCGCCCATCCGAGGGGGCGGGGAAACGAGGAAGGGAGCGGGCGCTTTTGAAGCCGCCCACGGGTAGCTGCCTCCCCGCGGCCAGGCAGACAAGCTCGGAGCAGGCGGTGAGGCCATGAGCCGCAGCGGCGGAGAAACGCTAGGGAAGCTCCTGAGGGCGCAGGCCTTCCGCTTGCCCGGCCGCCACGGCTACGCAGTAGAGTTTTCGCCGTACCTGCCGGGGCGTTTGGCCTGCGCTACCTCGCAGTATTACGGGATTGCAGGTGAAACGGCAGCAGGTGGCGCGGGCGAAGTGGTGGCGGCGGCAGCAGCAACCTTCAGAATCGCTTTCTGCTGCCTTGATTCTTTTGTCGCGTCAGGGTGGTAGGAGAGGACGGTTTGCTGTGTGGAGCAGACTGGTACTGTCAAAGGCAATGCTGCTGCAGGCTCTAGCCCGCGTGCGTGTTTGAGGCGCTTCGCCAAGATAATGACCTAGTTTGGATAGAAGCTGTTCCCGCCCCCCCTCCGCCCTTTTGCTGGCCATTCCTCGGTTTCATGGGATTTACTTCTTAGGTGACTAGGATTGCAGCCTTAGATTGCATTTAACCGGTCTGTAACCGAGCTACTAAAAGTTCATCTGGACACAGAATAGAAATGCATACGTGCTGTTGCTGGTCCAAAATTAACTGGGAGTCTTCAAGTGTAATATGCACAGATCCACATTAGGGCGGTATTTTTAATAGATTAACTCAGAGATTGCAAAAAATGGGGGAAAGGGGAATGGCTTGTGAAAGCCATGATGTATACACAGTCCTTGCGTGGGAAGAGACTGCAGAGGCTCTCCTGGGTGCTGTGCTTTCAGGTTACACCCAGTTGGAAGGAAGAAGGTACAAGCAAAAATGTTCCCTTCTGTAAAAACAGAAAACCATGAAAAAATGGTTAAAACTTCTTTTGCCATATGTTCAGTGGAAAAAAATTCAGCTAAACCAACATGCATCATAAACAAATGCATGGTTCATTATAGTGCTGTGCTGGTAATTTGATTATGTCCAATATGATTGAGAAAATTGGGATTGCATATAAAGTAGGTCCAGTGTTCCTCATATCCAACTTCTATATCTATAATCAATCTATGATCTGTTCCTTAAATTTTTCTTATTTTTAAATTGCCCAATGTTGTTTGGAAATGGATGGCTTCTAAATTATATAAATAAATAGTCTGGATTACTAACATCTAGAATGCCTGGGAAAATATACAAGTTTTATTCAGTATGCCTCCTTGTAAATCTAATATTGAAAAGCTTCGTTTCCTTATAGCCACCAGCCTAGCTACAGGTAGTCCTCAACTTACAACCAAAATAGGGACTGGAAAATTCATTGTTAAGTGGTGCAGTCATTAAGCAAGGCATCACATGACCACACCCAATTTACTACATTTTTTGTGGTGATTGTTAAGTGAATCACATGGTCGTTAAGCAACTCACATGGCCGTTTGGTGAATCATACGGTTCCCCATTGATTTTACTTCTTGGAAGTCTGGGAAGGTCGCAAATGGTGATCCCATGACCCCAGGACACAGCAACTGTTGTAAATACATGCCAGTTGCCAAGTGCCCAAATTTTGGTGATGTGACCGCTGGGACACTGTGACAGTCATAAGTGCGAGGACCAGTTGTAAGTCACTTTTTTCAGTGCCATTGTAACTTTGAACAGTTACTAAACAAATGATCGTAAGTTGAGGACTATCTTCATGTTTGGTGGTATAGTGCCTGGAAGTGAATCTCCAAAGATAACAGAAATTTTTGGGTAAATACTTAGGAAAAAGGCATTCCCATATCTGACATTTGAGTGGTGTGCTTGAGACTACGATCCAAAAAGTGGGTAGGACAAGGATGAAAAGGAAATGATTAATTTCTATTTAATTAAAATTAAATCAGCTAAATAGAGTTAATATGGTAGTTCCCTGTCATGTATTTAATCATTTTCTCCTAGTGATGGTGACAACTTTTGAATAGGTTCTGGACCCACATGTGAAGCATTTGGGGGTTGCATACAACCATGGGGCCTCAGGTAGTGCACCTCCATTTTAGATATGGAATAAGTATACAATTAGATATATAGTTACACTGTTTATGATAATCATTGGATCTATATGTCACTCCTTCAAGGTAGGCCAGATACTGCAAGAATTCCAGACATGCTATTGCTGTAGGGTAAAATAATAGAATGTTGAAAGCCTATTGGTTTCCCTCTGCCTCCTCTTATACCAAATAGAATCAAAGTGGGCTTGAATTTCTTTCTCACTTGTTCCACTTTCCCAGGACTGAGTTGCCATTTCTTTTCCCTTAACAGTTCACCCGTTCCTTTTTCCTAAGGTCATGTCTACATTACTTTAAACTATATCTGAAATTGATTATGACCATTACATTTCTGAACCCTAAAGTCAAAAATAATTTTTCCAAATATTTATTTGGAAATCCATCCTTCTTTTTCCCATCACAAACTTTCAAAATGGTTTTTGAAACTCCAACTTTGAAGACAGTAAAAGGCAATACTGATTCTGCTTAACAATCCATGCTACATTTTTATATGTAGTCTCTGGAAGTTTATTAACTGGAAAATTCATTAGAGCTTAGCATTAAGTGCCAATGTATCCTACATATCTTTTGGAAAAGGAAGATGGTAGAGCACATAATTTGCATATAACAGGCCCCATCTTCAGTTAAAAGAATTAAATAGGTGGGTGATGAAGAACACCTCTCATATCCTAGAAAAGCACTGCCAGTCAGAGTAGCAATTCTATGCTAAGTAGATATAGTTTGACAAGGTTATAAGGCAAAGGTTCCCGAAGTTCAGCAGTTTTCAAGAATCTTACTCTAATTTAGTCCGTATTATACTATAGACCATTTTTTCAGTGTTGATTTTGTCTTCGGTCTTAGGTTGTGGAACTCTAGTAGTATTGGAACAAAATGAATCTGGACTTCATCTTTTCAGGAGGTAGTATTTTGTTCTTTTGTAATAGAAATAATTGTTGCATAATCTTTATGTTTTTGGAATTAGATATTCTGATGTAGTTTTATAAAACAGTGTAACTGTATCAAATGTACTTACACTGCTAAATTTAATAGAATTTACACTGTTAATTTAATAGAATATAGTATTCAGTAAACTATGTGGATGCACATTCCCATCGACTTGTGTTATCAATCAACACTCCTGCCTTAGCCTTGGCAATATGGGTCCATATACTACCTTGTGCATGACTATGTCCCCAAACTGAGATCTGAAGTTATAATGACAAAGTTGTTTGGGTAACATTTAGGGCATATATTCTCTTCATTAAAACTGAAGGGGGTTTTCCATCAAATATACTGTAAATAATAATAATAATAACAACAACAACCCTCAGTGAGGCACTACCTTGACGTGGTTATGGGGCTTGTATGCTCCAAGGAGGATGAGAGCTATGCCAGAGGTTCAACCGTACTGGACAGGTCTCATCAGAGGAGTCAGATGAAGAGTGTCTCTACCATAAACAATATAGTGAGATGTAATTTACAAAACCCTATACCGATTGGTTGTTACCTGGGTCATCAGGGACCATACTAGATGTTCTAGTTCCTGGACATCTGGTGACAAGTGAGCTACAGGACTCAGGACTGTTGGCTGAGCAACCAGGGCTGGCAGCTACAGGACTACTGGAAGAAAAGTTGTTTACCTGTCACAAATATACGAAGACTGAAAACAAAGAAATAATGTTCTACTACAAATCAAGTCCAACAAGAAGAGAATATCTGAAAAGAATGTACCAGTTCTGGAAAAAAAAAATCCAGAATCAGAAATAACAGAGGCTAGCAGATCAACATTGATTTCTAATACAAAATAAAGTATTCACAGAAGTAAAATTGGAAGAACTCCAAAGATCTACCCAGGACAAAGAAATTGAAGCCTTGACAGAAGTAGCTCAGACTGTAAGGGCAAACCAGGGGGCGTTGGCAGTAGAGGAAGCCAGCATAGCTATTGAATCATTTTTATTCCCAAACCAGGCACCTTCTCCTCTGCCTTCTCCTCAGAAAGAACAAAGGCCTCTAACTAAAAAACAAGAGGAATTGAAGCAAAGAATAACTGATCATCTAGAACAGCACAAAAAGAACAGAATAAGGTTGCCTGCATTGAAGCTTGTTACAAAGAAACAGCACAAGTATTCAAAGATGCCAATACTGTATATCAAATATAAGCACCAGCTCACCACAAGAAACAAACCAACTAATGTACAGCATGGCTGCAGTTATAGCTGAATACCTTGGATGCAAAATCAACAAACAAGAAAAAAAGCCAAACAGTGCACCACTAAAATAGAAGATCAGGTTGGAAAATAAGATGAGCATTTGCAAGCAAACTAGAACAGATGAAAGAAAAGAAGCTGAAGAACAAGAAGACCAAAGAATACGTGATCAAGAAATATCACCTAGAAACAAGGAAGATCAAAGAAGCATTGGAAATAATAAAGCAGCAAATAATAGCCATAGCCAAAAAGATCAGCAAATACAAAGCTCGAATTGCACACTATGGGCAGAATCTCCAATTTCAGTCGAATCAGAAATGTTTTTACCAATCCATCAATGGAGAGACTACAATGAACCGGTCAGCATGTGACAAAGAAGCAACATTGCAGTTCTGGGCAAAGCTATGGGACAACCGAAAGAAATACAAGAATGCAGCTTGGATAAAGGAGGTGAATAAGAATAAAAAAGAAGCTGAAATGAAAGAACTTGTAATAACAGCAGAAATGGTGGAGAAAAGGACAAAGAAGATCAAGAATTAGCACCAGGTGAAGATGAACTGCATGTCTTTTGTTTAAACATCTGACTGGTCTGCACCCACTCATTGCCAAGCAGTTTAACAACATCATGCAAGGAGGTGAAATTGCAGATTGGTTAACATCTGGCAAAATCAGTTTGTAATATGGTCCCTAGGTATTCCTAATACTATCCCTAAAGACAGTTGCTTCATTTGCTAGAAACACAGTATACTTGGCTGCAAAAAACAGTCAGTTTCTGCTCAAAAATTTTTTGTAAAGAATTTCTTCATGAAAAGTTCTCTCAGCACTGGTTGTTTCTTGCAAACTAATTTTTAAAATGCTGAATGTTAAAAGTGTGTCATCAAACCCCTCAATACATTCATAGTTTAAAAAAAGAATCCAAGAAGGTCAGGGTGGAATCTATGGGGATTCCTGTCTTCTTGTCAAAATTTCTCTATAAGATGAGTGAAGCCGAGTCAGCTGTAGTTCAGTGAAATGTCATGACTTGCTAGAAATTTCATTCCAGGTTTTCCCCTGTCCCACATAATCATACCTTTTTTTGACTAGATTCACACATTCTGTTAAGTCATAATGTACATTTTTGGTTTGGGATTATGTTGGGTGAACCTAGCCATTACGTGAAATTTTGTATCTTTAAATAGTGTCCAATTATGTTACATGCTATACCCTTGTCATTAATTAATATATTCACTTTTGGTTTAGTTTTGACTGGAACGATGGGCTATTTGATGTGACATGGAGTGAAAACAATGAACATGTGCTGGTCACTTCTAGTGGAGATGGATCTTTACAGATCTGGGATACAGAAAAACCTGCAGGTCCACTGCAGGTCTACAAAGAACACACTCAAGAGGTATAACTAAATATTGTCACTTTTCTCTATAACAAGATAGATTCTTCAAAAGGGAACCCTTCTTTGTTGATTAATCAATAAAAACAGCAGTTGAAGTTTAGAAGGACCAGAATCTTCTATCACTTTTATGAATTGTGATTGGATAATTCCTCTTATTTATCCTGCCATTGCTTTTGTTCCAGTTTCTTCTGTTTATCTTTTCTTTATTCAAAAATGTTTTCTAAAAAAGAATAAGAAATACTATTGGAGGGACTTAATGACATTCTGAAAATCTATAGTAATTAACAAACTGAATTTCCTTTGGAAATTGCAGTGTTCTGTCCAGCAATATATTATCTTTACAAATCTTCCATTACCTGTTTGAGTAGCAATTTTGCACCACTGAGAGCAGTGGAAATTATTTCTGAGTATTATGTAACATAATGATTCTGTTGGTTCTCTTGTGGAAAAAATGGAAAGGTTTTTTTTGTATTATTTCTTTGTTTAAAGTGTTATAATAACTATGGAAACTCTTCCAATCCTACTTATTTAGAAATTACACTGATTTTTTTTCTTTTCCAGGGAGATAAATTGTGATATTTTTATACTGTATGAACTTCTGCCATGTAATACGAATTCTTTATTATTGGCTCTCTTAAACATAACTTTCTTTCTCTACCCTGCAGAATTTATAGGTTGTATGTCTTTTGTAGAATTGTACTGATCTCCCCACCCCCACCCCCTAGAGTAATAAAAGAAGATTAACGGTTGAAGGCAAGGTTAGAATGTTAAAATATCCAAAATTCGAAGCAATCTGAAGTATACCTTCTCTGGAGGTCTGCAAAATGTCTTGAGATCAAACTGTTCTAACCTCATAATATTCATAGTTTGGAGGATAGACTACTAGTAAGATTTGATTAGCCTGTTTGTACATTGGAACATCCTTTGTCATTCTGTGGTAGGTGTAGGACATTTCAAGGTTCAGATGCATCAGCCTCAAACGTTTCACACATCTCTAGAATCTATTTTCTTAATTTACAGGTTACACATTTTGATATGAAAAAATTCAAAGGCCTGTCTATAGGACTTTCTCCACTTGCCACAGAACAAACATGACAGCTTTTTGTTTCTGCCAGCACGAAAGGTGTTGCCTTTGTACCGTTCCCATTGATGAGTGAAACAGGCTTAACATCCTTAATTGATAAAGTAATATTTTCTCTCTTATTCAGATGTAATTCAGGGGCAACCTCAAAGTCTTTAAAATCTGTTAGGTGTTGTTACCCATTGCCTTTGAGGAAAGTAAGAGACTTGAAACAAAGGCAGTGGAAGCAGGAAACAGATCAGTGTTAGAGGGTTAGCAGAGACGGATTTTAACCATTGCCCTATGCTATACACTGCGTGCACAATTATTAGGCAAGTTGTATTTCTGAGAATGAATTTCATTATTAAA